GACTAATAAACATGTCGTATCATATACTACTGATGAAAGTTTTATTATCGGCTATTATACATATTAGTAGTCTAACAATAAATTTGGCATAATTAATATCGGTTATTACATATGTTAGCGGTTTAACAATAAATTTCGAAGAATACTTCAAAGATGTAACATAATTGTATGTATGAATTGTAATGTATAAACATTATGTTTACCTCTAACTTTATGTTTAGCATGCTAATTAAATATTGATCATGTTAAAAGAACTTGTAACAAGTCAAGTTAATATTAAAACACAAATACAAAGTTCAGCCTTCTCCATTATACATCGCCTATTCCACTTGTTCATCATCTAAATTCACTATTGGGCCGCTAGAATATATAGTAGTGGATAACAAGTTATTTGTCAGTAATTTGTATTGTCAAACGTTTTAATGATGATTGAACTTATCTATGTAGTAATTAGTATGCCAAATTCAATGATATAAATCTAACAAGTGCAATAGATGATAAAAAATTAGTTCTCGGCAATGTCTTCACGAAGCACCGAATCACCACCATTGAACTCATTCACTCACATCTACCTAACTGAGTTAAATCACCGAGTCAACTCAGTATGCTCAGATCAATGGAACACAAAAAATTTCTCTATCTTTGTTGATATCATTTTCTTCAATCTTTGTTCTTTATTTTCACCAAGAGAATATCTCATTCGTCGGATCTTCGGAAAGAATCCGATAAGATTTAGTTGTTTACACTAGAAGTATTGTTGTTGTACTTGGTAAAAGACTTGAAAATATCTTCAAGGGATGTCGCGGAGATGATGGAGGATGGGGCCATGGCGCATCGTCGTTGAAATCAAAGATGAAAAAATTTTCTTTAAAGACAGTAAATGCAAAAATTGGAGAAATCTTAACCTGGGGTGAAGAGAGAATAAAGAGACTGAAAAAGAGAAATTTAAAACCATACGAAGAAGATAAAAAAGGGAGATAATATATTATCAAATCAATATATGTATGTATGTATTAATAAATCGATATAATTTTTGTTTTTCTCTAACACAGTTAGTAGGGAGTAGGGGTTGGATTGGGTTTATGAAAATTGCACAGTGAAGTGTATAGTGTTTGTATATCATACCAATTATTCGATTATGTGTGTATATCAAGTGCAAATACTCTAAAAAAAAGGTTAGTAAGGCTTATGATCTTAAAAGATACAAGTCATAAAAAATTAAGAATTATGCAATTGTATTTTG